AAGGAGACAAGATGGATGCTATCTGATGCTGGATAACATCGGGATGCTTGGTAAAAATAATTGTGTGTTTAGCATCAAAATTAAACAACAATATCCTGTTTCACAACATGCTGCAACTAAAATCGCCATTGTGTGTTATTGTATTGAAAAAAAAGCATCGTTTAAAATTGATTTGCCGTTCGAACCATAGATTGGAAATAACTGACTAGGGGTGTTGATGATTGACTTGATAAAGTAACCACTAATCCCCGGAATGTCTGAAGTCTTCCAAAGGACTGGTAATTTTACAACCTATGTCAATAGACAAAATCTCCGCTAGATTTCAAAGTCAATTACATTTTGATAAAGAAAAATAAAAACGAGCGATGACAAGACTTGATCACGCCAATGTCCCACGACTACAGCCAACGAAGACACCTTGCTTATGAATTGCATACCGTCCATAAACTTGTGCCGATCAAACAGACACAATAAGACACATATCTTTGATGTAATGGCGGTCGTCTCCACACCGGCCATATAACCACCACACAACCAGATATAATTTCACATAAAATATAGGTTTGCTGGCGTTGAATTAATCTAAATATTAGGTTGAGATTCTTATCTGGTCTGGTACAGGACAGTGGTCCTAGTGACGTCACGACAAGATTTCCGTACCTGAGGGCGGATTTGTTATTGCTGTCACTCCTTTCTACTTCCGATCAGGTCAAATTTCATTTATTTGTGCCGCATTTAAATATGACAGAAAAAAGAAACGAATAACAATATATTAAATAAAAAAATATTTTTAAAATGAATGAATGAATGAATGAATGAATGAATGAATGAATGACTATTTGTTAATATTTCGGAATAACAGCTATTATTTTTATCTATGTTCCTGTGTTGTATCAATTCAGTTTTAGTGAGGAGATATTTCAGAGTATTATAAACGTTGCTATTTCCGCAATTTAACACAATTCCGTCGGTCTTTCTCCTTTTTCTGAATTGTATCCTTTTGTCACGCAAGAATCGCTCGTGCAGACGAATAAACAAATAAACAAACAACAGAAATCCACTTTACTCTCCGCCGGATAACTTACTGACTGAAAGACGGTTTAAGGTATTTGTAAACAGAAAGCGCGCTTTTTATTTGTTCGATCAGTCATGTTTGTATTTTTCACCATATATGTATTTTTCTCGCCCTCCCGTGGATTCGAGTTGTCTGTGAGAGTCTTCTTCGCTTTGTTTAATTAACAGACAATGGACTCGTGTGAGTGGACAAAGATGGCGGTTACTTTGATGTCGATATATGTAACCGTTCCCAGGCAAGTGGAGCTGGCCTTGACCCCTGACCTCGGGGGTATAACGGCTCTTCCTGTTGACTTTTACACCTGAAGCTTTTAGAGGCGAATTTTCCTCAAGTTAGTTTGACATTGTCACTTCCATGGACCCATTATATGTATAATTTAACAACTATTCGAATTAGCACCCTAGTTTCTGAAGAGCCGATGAATTGTAGAATACTGTTTATTTTGGTAATGCGACTTGGCCTCAAAGTTTGAAATGGGTTGGAGAAGAAAGTGGTACACTTATAGTGTTAGATATATATATATATACATCATTGAATTATAATCAAATATATGATAATTGGTCACAAACTTTATTTGAAAGATTTGGGAGGGGGTGATTTTGATGACATGAAGTATACGTTGATAATTAGAATACCTTTGATTTTAGTCAATAGTCTAAATCCTGCCTATCTGTATACCTCAGTTCGAAATTTAAATGGGTTTTAGTGTATATCATTATGTAACTTAATATTTGATATTATGATTACGACTGGATGTAAATAATATGTGTGATATGTTGGTAAGTTTCTAATAACTTTATATTATACTTCACAAAGTACATTCTTCTTCACAGTATATTCTGTGATTGGGTATAACTTCATTTTCATCAGTTTTAGTAAAGTGTTTCAAAATTCCCATGACAACGAAATCAATCAATCGATCAATCATACGTATAACCAGTGTACTCCCGTACTGCCACATCATTTTTTGATTTTTTTAAAATGGTCATCAGTTGGAATTTAAATTCAGAATATTGAAATTTTCTTAAATATTCCTCCCACAATAAAATGTATTATTTATTACCACTGTAAAAATCACAGACCTACACCAGTTTATTCTGAAATTATTAATCGTAACAAGACATCAGTTAAAAGTAACAAAAGGTCACTTTTAAAATCCAAACAAGTCTAAAAGACCTTATTGTTTATCGATTTTAAATCCTGTTTGGTAGTGAATGTTGTTATCCTGATATAACGCTAGCTAATGGTGAACTTCTAAGTGAGGATTCCTAATCCAACTTCTAACTGGGAAATGGGACACACCTCTTCAAGTTCATTAAATACAGTTGTGGCCTTATAAATATTGGTACTCTCGTGACTTATGATCAATTCATGTAAGTTGGTGTAGAGTAAGAATTGTTTTGGAATTTTAACTTTCATGTAACCATATCACTTATTGGCTGTAATAGGATGACTTGTATACAGAAACTTAACGTTTTGAAACAATTTAGCTGTACAGCTGGCCAAACTATCGGCTGAAACTTAGTGATTACATAGGTTGTTGTCGTGACTATGTGTCGGACGATAAGGGTGTCATGTTCCCCACTATACTCCATAGACTTCAATATTTGTTGAAACAATATTTTTCATTCATTTTTAATGAAATACAAGAAGGCACAGAGGTGAAAAGGGATTTAACAACAAGCTTGAAGCCTATGTATTCATATATATATAAAGATTGAATGTTGCTCATGGATAAAATTTCATACAAAAATCAAGAATATTACGTCATAATAATTTTATTTCAATCGGAATGATTGCTATGATTTATGAAATTTGTCAATGCAATGAAAATGACATCATTTTCTTTATCACTTCAATGTTAATCTACGATTTTTTTATCTAATTAAAATTGAAATTCAAAAATTTATCTTTAATTCTCTTTTTTAATTACATGATTTAATAAAATTCCGAAAATCCAATGTTTGCAAAGATGTCATGATTATGAATTGATTACAGGTAACCTATCCATTATTTGTAAAAAAAAAATAATTAAGAACATTTAATTTAGTTGTATCACACTGTTAATTATAGCAGAGACCACATATATGCCTCTCTGATTATACCGCTGATATGCCACGTGTACCTGTTGAATTCATGAATAAACCATTCATATATATATATATAATAATAACTTAAAACAACAAGTCGAATTAAGTATTAGCTTATATTATTATATTATAAGTATCTTTCATAACTTCGGTCATTGCTGTGATTAATGTTAGATTATCATACATACATTCTGTAAATGCGATAATATTATGACATTTAAAATATAAAAGCGTATATATGATAAACGCAGCTAAAATAGTAAATAAATAAATAAATAAATAAATAAATAAATAAATAAATAAATAAATGTTAGCAACAAAGTATTTCATTTGAACCATTTTGGGGGAAATTTTTGACAAAATATCTTATATTGGACCATTTGAATGACTTTTTATTTATTCATTTATTTATTTATTTTGTCGGAAAATAATAAATCGCATCAGAGAGAGGCGATGATGGCATATTTTCGGGGAACCAAGGCCCCACTACCGTAGTATCCAACCAAAGCTGCAAATCGATTTAAGTGATGTATTTTACTTGGTTCAATATTCAGAGCCTGTGGTAGATGTGGAAAGTAGCGGTTCCTTGGCAATAAAAACAGCAGGTGCTGGTCCGAACATTATAAAAACGAGGCATTGATAATAATATTTCATAGGGCATATTTAACAAAATTACACTGTCAATTGTTGTGAAGTTTACAGGTGTTATGATAGATAAAGAAATATTTTGATAAAAACAAACAAACAAAAATTCAGAGAAGTCAGCTTTAATGTATTATCATTATCATAATTATTTTGCCTTTATTTCCTCTAAAATAAAGTCATCTTGAACAGGAATTCGAAATACAGTCTGTTTAAAATGGACTTCACTATCACTAAATTTGTTTTATATAAATACAATGTACTATTATCACATCAGCAACAGGGCCAGCCCTGCCTTTTTTCACGGTAACCAGCTACGGAGTCCTGCTTTGAAGCGATATATGATATATGTAAAACATATTTAAGTTTAGAATTATCAAAATTTGAAATAATTGCAATACAATATCAGTTTTATTTGGTCGTTTTTCAGAAATATGTTGATGTACATAGACGAAGAAGGAACAATGTAATTCGTTAATTTATCATTATTTCAATTTTTTCTGGTATACTGATGTCCTGATGTGTGCATGTGATAACTAGATTTTTATGTAAGGATCAGTGCCGGTAATTTTATGAGATACCAGATAAATATGCACCTCTCGCCTACAGAAATTATAAGTTAAGAAGAGTTACCCCCCCATCAATCTTACTCTCCCTTTGGTCTTACTCTCCGCCCAAAAAACCTCCTTGAATCATGTTTCAAATTTCATCCTTTGAGTTTATAAAAAAAGCATGTATGCATAAACATGCGTTTAAAAATGGTCACTGAGAACAATTGGTTGAATCTATAATTTTCACAAACTGGATTTCGTTTCGAATATTTTTTAAAATTCTTCTAAAACTTATCATTTCCGTTTCCGGTCTTGAGAGAAAATGGAGGACAGAATCGTTCAAGAGTTGGAACAAGTCACACAAATTGTGTTGGTGGGTGTCAGCGGGTTTATTTTTTATTCGGCTTAATTGAAATGTTCGATTTTAATTTATGTGTCTTAAGGTCGTTACTTTTCTTATCACACGATGAGGTTTTTGGTGATGAAATTAGTAAGAACACCTAAATCTTCACGCGTACTTTGCAACTCTTAAAAAATTATGCGGAGTTTCTGCATTGTGATTTTTACTAAAACAATGCAGTTATGTCTATTTGATTAACATCGATGTGCAGTGTGTGGGTTAAGGAAAGGTGAATATTAAACATGGCTATTTGTCTGGGAAGACGCCAGGTACCTGACAGTTTTGATAAATTTTAGTAAAACGTTTCAACAAGCATGTAGCCTTGTAGGCCAGTGTCCGATTAGGAGTCATAGTATCATTTATAATGTCCATCCTCCCTCAATTCATTTCAAAGACGACGTCGTGGTCCTCATAACTTAGACAATCAGTGAAAAAAGATGAAACATAAAAAGTAGAAAGAAATATGCGCATATATGAACTATATAGAATAATTTGAAAAAGGCACTGGTAAACCAAGCACAAGTTGATCAACATGATGAACATTTTGAATTGCCTGATTCACAGCTTCACCGAAGCAGTTTTTTAAAAGTGGGTTTGATACACCGAACAGATATGTGTTTCTCGACTTTCCTCCTACAGTAACAACAAGTGTGATTAGTATAAGCTGAACCAGATAAAAATTTTATATGTAAATAACACATGCACATACCACCATACAATGTATAAGTTTGTTAAGCTTAATTGTTTTTTTTTAAGATTTTAAGTTTGATTTCATTTCCACATGAAAGAGACATTTGTCTGTCAATTTTTTTTAATCCATTCAATGGGTCATCAGTTTTCATTGCATGCTGCGATAAGTGTATTGTGGGTAATGAAGTTTCAGCCACACTTCCATATAAAGTTGATTGTATGGGCAGTTTATCATATGATAATAGTTGTTATTACTGCTATAATAATATTAATATAAATTTTTAGCCAGATGGCCATTCAAACCCATTGGCCTTATGTTAAAGATAAGATTTTTAATTGTCAGTCATTTTGAAATGACTGGTAATGTTGAAGTATTAGAATTATTTCTGGACTTTCTACAAATGCCATGTTTGACTAACATTTTACTTTTGATCAGAAAACAATCTCACCCACAAATAATGCCTTCAGATAAATTTCATTTCATTAGCTCTTTCAACTACAGCAGTTGGAAATGAGGTTGGTATGTGCTGCATTTATACCAGTGGAAAATACACCCAGCAGAGTTGTGAAATCTATATTATGGTCGGTTTTGACAGAATAATCAAGAAATTTATTAGTGATACCATGTACATATATCATTTACAAACATAAAACATGAAGAGCGTATTGCTATCATATAGATTTAAGCTTTACTTTCTTTGGACTTCAGTTTTAAATTTTGCTTACATTGAAGGCTCCACCAAATATTGTGACACCAGAAGAGCGTCATGCTGCAGAAAATGTTATTATGGACTTTCGGAAGACAAAGATGCCATACAAATTATGCAGATACATACTTGGTAAGCAAATTGTGCATGTATGTGTGTAAGGTTTTGAGTAATGTCACGCCTGATCCATGCCCATAGGGTTTATCCCTCAGTCACATGACCAAATCTTGCACCAGATTAGTCATAAGATCTTTGCTGTCCTCAGTAGAAGTCAATCAGTTAGTTGCCTAAAGCAACCCATCCATAAGTAGATGTTTTTTGTTGAGTGACTGTGTTAAATGTTCAGATGACAAGGTTGTTATTGAAGAGATTTCTCAAAAAGAGAGCATATGCTAAAGTTTATCTATAAGTAAAACATTCATACAACAATGACATACAATTGCAGTTCATAATTGTAATTGTTGAACAATGTAATTTCATTATTACTTTGAAAAAATCTATGTAATGGCTGATATGCAAGGTCACATATTACAGGTGTTTCAACTTTGTTTATTTATTTTTATTAATTTATTTATTTCAAAAAAGAAAACAGCAAGTGTGATTATGTCCTGTTCCAAGCGGCTACTACCATTAAGGAGGGTGTCATAAGAGAATGGTCCATTCTTAGCTCTGAAGATGTGGAGTCCTTGCGATCATTTCTACTCCGGTTCATTACTCAAAATATAACGTAAGTACTTGTCAACTGTTTCAGGTTTTATTTCATTAAAATTATGAAAGATAAAATTTCTGAAAATGAATTTGAAATTTTATCTTCAACACTTTTTTTTTCATCTTTGTTCTGTATTTTCTATATTTCATCACTTTGATGCTGACAGGATCCAGAGCTATGTGAGGGAGCAGATCCTCCAGACTGTGGCTGTGATACTTAAAAGGGGTACCCTAGAGGACCTAAAAGGGGCTAGCAGGAACAGTCTGTTCCAGGATGTTACTCACCTCGTCAGTAGTGGCAATGTCACCATGGTAACTAGATGACACTAATTATGTACCCAACTTCTTCCATTTTTATATCCGGATGTAAGTTTGGAAAAGTTCGATTGACCTCTTGAATCCTCTGATTTTTTGTGTCGTTATCATCCTACATAATGAATATATTTCTAACGTTCTTTGATATTATAATATATCTGATTTCTTTTGTATTCCTTAATTGTCATATCTACTGTAAATAAACCTTGAAATATTTTTGGTAATTTAAAAACTTTTATCTTTTAGTACCAAATTGACAATATTAATTGACCTGTATTAAGATTTTGTTAAAACAATATAACTAGGGTTGTTGTATCAGCTATTTACTTGAATTACTACAGCAACTGGTCGCATGTTCCATGTTAACGGCATTACTGAATGAGTACTCCAGCTCTAGCAGGACAAGCAGTGTGGGCTTTACCTGGGAATTTCACACTCGTTGCAAGCGAGCATTTGAGGTAAAGAAATATGCTTTAGAAAGTGGTTTACATTCAGGGTAACTATATTTCAGGTGATGATAATGAACTAAATCTGGGTTTAGTGAATTACACTTAGTACTGAATGCATTTGGAAAGATTCCTACATCTTCTACTAAAAGTTTGAAAATTTATTTTGATTACTCAGCCATTTCGTTATTGTGTATTGCTTCCACTACTTGCATATCTAGCTATTAGAATGTGACTTATGATAAAAAAATTATTGTATATTCCAAAAGTACCTGTATTCAGAATGAGCTATGTCAGTTAAGCCAAATTACCCTGAATGATTTGAAATGTACACTGTTTTGGAAAGAAGAGGTGGTAAAAGTTAGCTTATCATTTGTCTTCATAAAGGTCGCAAAGTATTATTTGAACCTTTACAAAATTGTCAAAGACCTCAGTAGTAAATCTCCATCTTGTTGTCTTTACAGGAGGCAGACTTAAAGAGGGTGCTGCTTTTTGCATTACAAGTACTGAATGAATTGGAACAGCAGCCAAGCCCTCTCCCCCGAGAGGCTATGGCTGTCCTCAACAGAATGTTATCCATCTCTGAGCAAGTTCTGTGCTGGGAATTTGTACCCAAAGGTCAGTTATATAAAGTATATCTATATTTATTTCACAAGATTTGTGAAACAAGTGATGTAACCTTATTATTATCAGTTTTGTTGACCTGGATGGAACAGTGTATAGGGTTGAGGGAGGCATTTAGTTATATATGGTGTATAGCTTAGGATCCATTTGTATTCTTATAAAATTCTAAGAAATCAAGGGAGATAATAATCTGTCAGCTGTAGATGAGGAAAGTCCACACTTCAATTTAAATATAGGTCAAAATTTACTATGAACTTTTATTCTCTTTCATGAGGATTTTCAACAAGAATTTACATTCTTAATTTTTTAATTGATAGTGACAAGAATGATGTGGTAGTGCTCTTTTTCCATCATATAAATGGATGCATAATGAATTACCATTTAAGGAGTTGCTTTCATAGGAAAATTGATTACCTGTTTGTGATTTTTGGTTCAGTGGTATGATTGTATTATAAATAGGTTCTTATGGATTTTATAGAAATATAAAATGTAACAATGAAAAAAAAATTGATATCTGTATCTTTACTTTTCAGCTGCAAGAAGACATGTTGGATCTTTCGAGATGACTCAGAACATTCCATTAAAACCAAATGAAAAGTGGCGAGATACATTAATGGACAAGACAGTGTTAGTTCTGTTCTTTAAGGTCAGTGAAAAGTATTTAGATTAGATTATTGTTGTGTTTGCTGTAGTTGTAATACTCTACACCAATATCTTCTGTCGTCAGTTGATCTGCTGATGTGCATGCTGAGATTTTACAAAATATGTCTATAGTTTTCACTGTATGCTTTGTGATAGGTCCTGGTACATGTATTTTGTACACAATCTGATCTATTCTTTTTACTATATGTTTTGTTCTGTAGTTGTATATTATGTAGTACAAACATGCAGACTTATTTACAAAACCAGGAATGTTAGAGGAGAGCCAACTGTTCTTTCTTGGAGGTTTGGTAGAATAGTTGATATTATTCAGTCTACTAGTAATCAAAACGAAACCAGGAATAAGTCGTGGTAACATTAGATCAGGATTTTATCAAAATTAAACCAGAAATAATTTGTGATAACATCTGATCAGGATTTTGTGAAAACTAAACCAGAACTAAGTCATGATAACATCTGATCAAATCTGTACCTGAGGTGCTGTTGTTAACTTGTTTCACTATGATAGATAAACAATCATCAAAACAATTTGAATGACAAAGTTTTCAATTTGTTGAAATTATAAGGCAAGTTAAATTCAATGATTCAATGTTCATTTGCTCTTGTCCCCACACAGATCCATAGGAAGGTTAGACACAACTCAGAAATGGCCCACCACTCCATGCAGTGTCTAACACAGCTGGCCTCACTCAATGGTAACATCTTTGCAGATGACAAAGCCCGCTGTGAATACCTGGCAACTTTTATTGATGGATTTTTACAGTTGATCACAAGGTTTGTAATGTATGGTAGAAACCACAAGGTCTGTTATCTTAGAATCAGCTGTTGGCTGATCTTACAAGCTAAAATAAACATGAGTAACATCAGCAATGACCACATGTTAAAAAAATGGTTTTGATGTCACACTTTTAGATGACTTCAGTTCATTGTCTTTTGTTGAAATCTCACCTGTAAGAAATATTTCACATTGAAGATATTTTTTTTAATATGTCAGGTTAACCATGGGAGAGGTTTTATCACGTTCTGAGAAGTTGCGAAAATGTTTTGTAAAATTGATTTTCTTTACTAAGCCTTGTGTTAAATTTCTTTGTGATCATGTTTTTCAGCATTGACCTCCAAGACTATGAAAACCTTGGAGTAGCAAATATCTTTAAAAACCTGGTGATGCAGTTCCCAATGGCATCTTTGTTCGCACTACCAGAGAAAATGTTTGACCAGTTTTTGGAGCAGTTGACAAGACTTACATGCACCATGGGACGAGGAGCAGCACTGGAGGAGGCAGTATGTTCTACTCTTTCAATAGATCTCTGTATTGTTGTAAACATGTAACTCTGAACAAAGTACTATGTAATTATCTGTATCAAACTCTGAATATTGTTGTATGTAATTACAAGGATGTACAAAGAAAAAAAATGATTTCTTGTATGAAAAAACTTAAATCAGTACCTAGGTAGCTCCTTTTATCGCATTTCAATGAATACAAGATATTTTTACTGCAAAAGATGATTGTAAGATAGAGAAACCAGCGCAAATTATGTAATATAGACTGACTCTACACAGAGTTAAAAAGCTGTTGTATCATTTCTTAAATTTCTGAGAAAATGAAATCAGAAAATGGTTAGAGAAAAAATTACAGATACCTGGTTCATATCTTAACCAAAGGCAAGAAATATATAAGCCTGACATAGATGTTTGAGTCTGTGAAATAAATACAAATGTGAGGACCTATCTTTCGTAGTACCACAAGGATGACACAATTCACATGGAGGCCTATGAGAAGATGCTGGAAACATGGATGGAGCTAATCTCCAAAATGAAGGATGTATCGTTAGACAAACTACGACCACAGACTCAACAAGTGTTTAACTCGTATATCCAATGTCACATCAGCGCACCAGATGGAACCAGGACACGGGTAACAGCTGTACTATAAAATGGTCTCAGATCACTGGTAACACAGTTTGATGGTTTCTAGACTACATACGAGAATACCGGTTTTAATACTTTGTAGAAATATAGTATGGTTATGATTTAAAAAGATAGGTCTGAGTTATTGAATGAGGGCACTTAATGTATAAATCATTATTTTTCATTTCTTAGATGATTTGGTTTATCTTTAAACTGTAAAAGAAAGTTTCACATTTTCCATTTAAGATTGAGAATGTGTTTTGATAGTTTTGAAATACTTAAGGTAGGAGAATAGGTGTGAAATAAATTTGATATGATATTATAATAACCGAACAATTTTTTTTATGACATGTTTTGTGGTGGTGAATTACAGGAAGGAATGGATTCTGTGTCAGATGAAGATGAGATTGACAGTGTAGAAGAAGACGACCGTGAGAGGTTTTCTGACCAGCTCTGTAGTATTGGTATATTTGGACGGATGGTACCAGGGCACAGTATACCTAGTCTCTGTCGGTAAGAGTTGGTTAATATCTATCACTTTGTAGTGTGTCATTAGACCGAAAATGTGATTGATTAATTATACTCTATAAAGATTTTTACCTATCTTAAATCACTTCAGTTGAATCATTTGAGAATTTCAGATAAGCTAAAATAGAAAATAGAATTGTGTAAGAGTTCACATTGAGATAGTAACTGAGGAAAGAGACAGAAATGTCACTTTGATATCAGGATGTGTTCTAATGTTGTGTCACAGGTTACTGGAGGATCGAGTTGCTAGGTTACATGGTCAGCTACAGCGACTACAGCATCAACAGCAATCGCACACACAGCCCCCTCCTATGGACCCTCACCTAACCATGTTGTATGAGGATATACACTGGATTATATTAGTCACCAGTAAGTCTCTCCCCTACCTATCCTTACACCATCTGACACACACAACCTTCACTTTGTCATGTTTTATGTGTTGTATGAGGATATAACACTAGGATATATTTCAAATTGTTCGTTTGAATTTTACATTTCCAGCTTTTGTATTAACGGAAGAATCAGAGGGAGAGACCCCTATGATCCCTTCGGACATCATGGAGTATTCTATTAGCCAGTCAAAATCAGTAGACATTCCCACAACACTCAAGGTCCTGGCATCCCCTGGGGAGAGAGCAGACAGCATTCCAGGGGCTGACCATAACACAGACTTTGTTGTCAGGTAGATACATGTATATTTTTTCCTGAAGTCAATATCATCATTTTCAGTTGTGCGGACTACGATGAAACATTCACCACAGTTTAACCTTAGCCTCAGTCAATCTCTTACCTATAGAGCAAAAATAAGAAAGGGGTTAAAGTTTGATGTTAAAGCAGATACATATGAAGGGTAAATTTAATATGGGGGAAGGGGGCGTGGCAATAATCCATTGTATACAAGTGTGGAAAATAATCTCAATTAGATATATATATATAGAGATCACAGATTGATCCTGTTTGTTATCCTGTTCTCACTCTAGGCTGATCTCAGCAGTATTACGTCTGTGTGAGGTAGAGAAGCGGGCACTACAAGCCAAGATGACTGGGTCTCTCAGTCCACAGGTTAGCGCCACTACCATGTGGTTTCTACGGCGATGGTCACAGTGCTACTTGTTACCAGATGAGAACTATTATTCTCAGGTAAGTTATGGTAATCAGTTAAGGTAGCATGGACAACAGTAATCTACTTAGAAAGGTTGACCTGATATAAGGAAACTTAGGGAACAATGATAAACCAAATAAACTAACTTTGGTCTGGCCTGTTCATTTAATCCACTTCTGAACAATAGTTAAGTCAAAATTTGTATTTATTTTTGCCTGGTAAGACAAATATATTTACACCAAATACTTCAAGTAAGTACAAATAGGAGGCTACATTCAATGGTAACAATTCATTTTGAAAGATTCAAGTAATGATGTTGGACTAATATGTATGACCTTTGACCTGCAGACCCCAAAGCTTTCCTACACTGGTAAAATGAATCCATTGGGCCCATGTGTAAGTACTGATAGTTAGAGGGACCAGCATGAAGTGTAATCTATGTGCTGCTCCGATTACAAAGCTTATGTTTGAAGAATCACAGATGATACCATCACCACTGTTTCCAGCTTTCCAGTGGCATAATGTTAGGCATGCACTGGTCCTAACAACTTCTTATAAGTCATTGATGGGGGACACATGTGGCTGCCATGCTTTGTGTACTCTATCATGTTTCATTAATCTGTTGTATGAGAATGCTCATTTAATTTTTTACCCTAACATGTTGCAGTAATCTTTTTGAAATCTTTCAGATCAATTAGTGTTGATGTTTTGTTAACTTTTCATCAGTTACCTTGAGTCACTTAGTGTTTCATTAACCTGTTTCATTTTATCATCTCACCTGGCCCAAAGGGCTTTGTGAGCTTTTGGCATACTGCAGCATCTGTCGTCCATCTGTATGTCAACTTTTCTAACAAATCACTGCGAGTCATGAACGACCCATTGGATTTTAATCAAATTTGGTCAAAAGTAACCTTAAAGGAAAAGGACTTATTTTGTATAAATGGTGGATCTGACCCTCTTGGAGAATTTCCAAAATATTTTGTCCAGATTTGGTCTGAAGGTTTCTTAGATAAAGAGAAATCAATAAACAGTGGGTCTTGCCCCCTGGGGCAGGAGGGGTGGGGCCTGATAGGGGATATAGAACATATTCTTTAAAATCCCCTTCTCCTTCAGGAATGTAAGGATTCTGTCCCAGTTTGGTCTGAGGCATCATTGGCTGAAGGGGAATCAGTTTTGTAAAAAATAGTGGGTCTCGGTACCATCGGTCCAGAGGGGCAGGTTTGAATAGGTGAAATAGAGCTAATTCTTTAAGTCCATTTTTCTTCAGTAGGAATGCATGGACTCTGTCTCAATCTGGTGGGAAGCACCCTCGGGTGAAAGGAATAATTTTCTTATAGAGGGGCAAGACTCAATAGGAGAAATAGAGTTAATTATTTAAAATCCTTTTTCTTCTGTAGGAATGACAGGGTTCTGTGACAGTTTGAAGCATGCTTGGGTGATAGAGACCTTTGTATAAATGGTTTGGCTGACCACTTTGGGGCAGAGAGGTGGGGCTCATTGGGGAAATAAATACAAGCCCTTAGAATTCATTTTCCTTTAGTTGGGACGAAGCAATTTCAGCCAAACCAAACAAAGCTAGGTGAGCAATGCAGCCCCTATGGGCTTCCATAAGTTGTATATGACATCTATGCCTGTAGAATTTATCATCTTCCTTCAGCATTACATATCTAAGATTAGGTGTTCTGCTATGTATTGTACTTTTGTCCCTCTAAATCACAACTACTAATACCATACTCTAGTATTATTATGACTGAGTGTGTGTACCACAGTCTACACTGCTGAAAGGTTGTTAAAGCAGACACGAAACCTGTTAGAAGTAAGGTACATACTACAGAAGTATTCAGGTCTTGATATAGTTAGATGACCGTCTGGGCTCAAAGACACCTTACTGGAATTTATAAAAGACATTTATCATTATCAATCATCTTCTAGTTAGACCTTTTTTCAGTCTTTTTAGTCATTTAGTACTTTTGATTATATTTCAGTAGTACATTTCTTTGGTTACAGTATTGCATCCTTTGTCAGTAGACTTATCCTTTGAGAAAGATAATTCAAGATTGGAAAACATATATACTGAGACAAAATTAACTTTGATAATATTGTTGTGACACTACAGTTTTAGCTTGAAAAAGTGTGCACTATACGCGAAAATTTACGGTAATTATTTCTAGGTAAATTAAAATCTCTAATAACATAAAGCATGGGAAAAGACATATGCATGAAACTTGATTAACAGTAACAGCATGGTACATGTGATGGAGACACATGGGGTATTGTTGTGTTGTATAATCATTGACAGGGTTACATACATGGGGTATTGTTGCCCTGTATAATCATTGACAGGGTTACATACATGGGGTATTGTTGCCATGTATAATCATTGACAGGGTTACATACATGGGGTATTGTTGCCCTGTATAATCATTGACAGGGTTACATACATGGGGTATTGTTGCCCTGTATAATCATTGACAGGGTTACATACATGGGGTATTGTTGCCATGTATAATCATTGACAGGGTTTCATACATGGGGTATTGTTGCCCTGTATAATCATTGGCAGGGTTACATACATGGGGTAGTGTTGCGTTGTATAATCATTGACAGGGTTACATACATGGGGTATTGTTGCCCTGTATAATCATTGACAGGGTTACATACATGGGGTATTGTTGCCCTGTATAATCATTGGCAGGGTTACATACATGGGGTATTGTTGCCCTGTATAATCATTGACAGGGTTACATACATGGGGTATTGTTGCCATGTATAATCATTGACAGGGTTACATACATGGGGTATTGTTGCCCTGTATAATCATTGACAGGGTTACATACATGGGGTATTGTTGCCCTGTATAATCATTGACAGGGTTACATACATGGGGTATTGTTGCCCTGTATAATCATTGACAGGGTTACATACATGGGGTATTGTTGCCCTGTATAATCATTGACAGGGTTACATACATGGGGTATTGTTGCCATGTATAATCATTGACAGGGTTACATACATGGGGTATTGTTGCCATGTATAATCATTGACAGGATTACATACATGGGGTATTGTTGTCATGTATATCATTGACAGGGTTTCATACATGGGGTATTGTTGCCATGAATAATCATTGACAGGGTTACATACATGGGGTATTGTTGCCCTGTATAATCATTAACAGGGTTACATACATGGGGTAGTGTTGCGTTGTATAATCATTGACAGGGTTACATACATGGGGTATTGTTGCCATGTATAATCATTGACAGGGTTACATACATGGGGTAGTGTTGTGTTGTATAATCATTGACAGGGTAACATACATGGGGTATTGTTGCCATGTATAATCATTGACAGGGTTACATACATGGGGTAGTGTTGCGTTGTATAATCATTGACAGGGTTGCATACATGGGGTATTGTTGCCATGTATATTCATTGACAGGGTTACATACATGGGGTAGTGTTGCCATGTATAATCATTGACAGGGTTACATACATGGGGTATTGTTGCCATGTATAATCATTGACAGGGTTACATACGTGGGGTATTGTTGCCATTTATAATCATTGACAGGATTACATACATGGGGTATTGTTGCCATGTATAATCATTGACAGGGTTTCATACATGGGGTATTGTTGCCATGAATAATCATTGACAGGGTTACATACATGGGGTATTGTTGCCCTGTATAATCATTGACAGGGTTACATACATGGGGTAGTGTTGCTTTGTATAATCATTGACAGGGTTACATACATGGGGTATTGTTGCCATGTATAATCATTGACAGGGTTACATACATGGGGTAGTGTTGCGTTGTATAATCATTGACAGGGTTACATACATAGGGTATTGTTGCCATGTATATTCATTGACAGGGTTACATACATGGGATATTGTTGCCATGTATAATCATTGACAGGGTTACATACATGGGGTATTGTTGCCATATATACTCATTGACAGGGTTACATACACTGGGTATTGTTACCATGTATAATCATTGACAGGGTTACATGCACTGGGTATTGTTGCCATGTGTAATTGTTGACGGGGAATGTATATTGGATAGTGTTGCCATGTGTAATGGTGTGTCTGTAATCAGTTTTCATTTATTATTATTGACTGACCAGTAAATTGCTATGGGACGATTATATACAGTCATACAGAGTTCTAGAAATAAACACTTATAAGACCACCTGTAAAAATCAATGTTCTTGTCTTTAAATATCTTCCATTTAAAAGTTACATTTTTCAGCTTAAATGGTGCATCAAAAGGTATGTATGGACCCAAATATTTGTGGTAAAATTAGAGAACTCATACACTCCAAAGCCTTCTGTTACCTCTTGTCCTTAGTCCTCTGATGATTAAGTAAGAATGTGCTGGTTTTGTATTCCGTATCACAAATTTACTGTCCTTTAATAGGTGAGTCCAGCCATTTTGTCTGCATTTGGACGTGACTCAGAAGGTGCTCGATGGACTGTGCAGTTTGTACTGGAGAAAATTCTCAGTAATTTGTCATGCTGGGTGGGCGAGGAAGGTATTCTAGAGGATACGTTATCTCTCCTCAACTCCATGGTGGACAACAGAATCAGGTAAGGAAGGTCACACGTCCCAAGGTCAAATAAAACAGGAAGTGTGTAGGCTGATGATATATACTGTTTTCACTTTTCCTATAAACTTATTAGACTATATCCTATACATTTTGTTTATGTTAAGCTTAATACTTACAAGTATGTCAACTTTATTCAAATGTTTAAATTTTACCTTGGAGCTTTCCTGTTTCTTAGCAACGACTATGCTAGAAATATAAATATGAGATTTAGGATATAATTTATTTCCCACTCATCATAGTTGAGAAAAGTGAAATAGTTTAAAACAAATTCTCATTTTTTACAATGCTATGTTTTGAACAGGGCTGAATATGTAACAAAGTGTGATTTACTGTGGACACTAGCCAAGCAGGAAGCTGAACACAAGCCTCCTCTAAGTCTGTTGCCATTCTCTTGTAAGCGGATGTTACTGCGCTCCCTGGTACAGGCAGGCTCTGGGGTGGAGGAGAGTTGGAAGGATGAATACTGGGCCTGTGTAAGTTCCTGATAGCAGAAATCTTCTCTTATAATACATTGTAGAACAATGCTAAAGGTAATACCATTCTGGTATCCTGGGGTTTTTAATCATCGTAGCAGTATTGCTAACACGATTTCTTACTTCTTACTGATATTATGAAGGAAACAATCTTGATCATAATAATGCTCATATGAATTTTAGTTTATCGCTAAAAGTATACTGTGAGAACTGGGTTTGATTTTTTCGTTACAGAGTTTCATTTGGTGTATACTTCAAATTTTGACCAAATAGAAATGTATACTTATTGGATCCAAAGTTTGATGAAGAACTTCAAAGTTTTGCAAATTAGAGAGGTTATTCTATGATTTCCACTTGGCTGGAAATAATCAGTGCATATATACGTAAAACAGTATTTTTTTCTCTCTTATACAGGTAGTATTGTCCTTCTGATGAATTTTAACAGGTTGTCTTTAGCTCAGAGCAGCAAAAGTCACATGTACTGCATTATGTGTTTTTATAAGGTTGCTATTAGTTTATTTGACACCAATTTAAACGTGGCATTTATTGCTTTAAAATTGATTTATTCCTTTTGTTTTCTAAAAAAAAAAGTATCCATTTAAATATTTTCAGGTGCTGACTTCCATACACACAAGATTTTATGAAACAGTATGCCATGAAAATTTTATGAAGATGTCCTATGTATCGGATATGAAGGAGAGAATTATAGACCTGTTGGAATGTTTATGCGGTATTGCCCAGGGTACACGTATTGATAACATGGAACGTATCTTCAGCTTCTTTCATCCCCTGATGACAGACTCTATAAAACTTCTAGGTAAGTTCTTTGGTATGATGTACCTGATCAATATCACCAACTTTATCCAGCAAATAGACTATTCTTGGTAATTAGCCAACTTATATAATTTGCTGTTCTATAGAATGATCACAAATACTTTTTCATTAACCTGTAGTGAGCTTCACATTGAATCAGAAGTAATGTATTTGCCCCATTTGCTACAATGTTTGAGATACATCTTTGATCAATAAATAGTATTTGTCCAATGAATACTTAAAGAACTGTTGACAATTGACTGGGTTTTTTTTTTCGCGAGTGTCAATTTTCATGGTATTAAAAATACTGCTATTTCATGGACACATGATTTGATGGATAAATATAGTTCAATCTACTTATACCAATATCAACAGTTTGTAGATATATGAATTAGAGTATCACGAGTACCCATGAAATCAATGAAAAATAAAACCTTCCTGAATATTAATAACTTAACAGTAACTGAATTGAAGTAGACAGTTTGTTTACAGTGAATGTACTGAGAAACTTTACTTTGGAACTGATGATAATGACATGTATTGAAAAACATTGTTTTGGAGCTATTAACAATGAAATATACCAAGAGCTGTTTGTTTTCATTGGCAGATGTGTATCATGCATATGAAGATGTTGTTCAGCTAGTGATCAAGTTTTTCTCTGAGGCAGTACAAGCAATGCTGTGTTATCTGGGCGAGGTAAGACCAAGTACTAAATCTTAAATTAGCTCAGAAGTCTTTATGAAGATTAAACATGTGTGTGTAGGATATCTCCATCTCCCATACCTGTGTGTAGGATATCTCCATCTCCCATACCTGTGTGTAGGATATCTCCATCTCCCATACCTGTGTGTGTAGGATATTTCCATCTCACATACCTGTGTGTAGGATATCTCCATCTCCCATACCTGTGTGTAGGATATCTCCATCTCCCATACCTGTGTGTAGGATATCTCCATCTCCCATACCTGTGTGTAGGATATCTCCGTCTCCCATACCTGTGTGTAGGATATCTCCATCTCCCATACCTGTGTGTAGGATATCTCCATCTCCCATACCTGTGTGTAGGATATCTCCATCTCCCATACCTGTGTGTGTAGGATATTTCCATCTCACATACCTGTGTGTAGGATATCTCCATCTCCCATACCTGTGTGTAGGATATCTCCATCTCCCATACCTGTGTATAGGATATCTCCATCTCCCATACCTGTGTGTAGGATATCTCCATCTCTCATACCTGTGTGTGTAGGATATCTCCATCTTCCATACCTGTGTGTAGGATATCTCCATATTCCATACCTGTGTGTAGGATATTTCCATCTCCCATACCTGTGTGTAGGATATCTCTATCTCCCATACCTGTGTGTGTAGGATATTTCCATCTTCCATACCTGTGTGTAGGATATCTCCATATTCCATACCTGTGTGTAGGATATTTCCATCTCCCATACCTGTGTGTAGGATATCTCCATCTCCCATACCTGTGTGTAGGATATCTCCATCTCCCATACCTGTGTGTAGGATATCTCCATCTCCCATACCTGTATGTAGGATATCTCCGTCTCCCATACCTGTGTGTAGGATATCTGCATCTCCCATACCTGTGTGTGTAGGATATCTCCATCTCCCATACCTGTGTGTAGGATATCTCCATCTCCCATACCTGTGTGTAGGATATCTCCATCTCCCATACCTGTGTGTAGGATATCTCCATCTCCCATACCTGTATGTAGGATATCTCCGTCTCCCATACCTGTGTGTAGGATATCTGCATCTCCCATACCTGTGTGTGTAGGATATCTCCATCTCCCATACCTGTGTGTAGGATATCTCCATCTCCCATACCTGTGTGTGTAGGATATCTCAATCTCCCATACCTGTGTGTAGGATATCTCCATCTCCCATACCTGTGTGTAGGATATCTCCATCTCCCATACCTGTATGTAGGATATCTCCATATCCCATACCTGTGTGTAGGATATCTCCATCTCCCATACCTGTGTGTAGGATATCTCCATCTGCCTTACTTGTGTGTAGGATATCTCTATCTCCCATACCTGTGTGTGTAGGATATCTCCATCTCCCATACCTGTGTGGAGGATATCTCCATCTCTCATACCTGTGTGTGTAGGATATCTCCATCTCCCATACCTGTGTGTAGGATATTTCCATCTCCCATACCTGTGTGTGTAGGATATCTCCATCTCCCATACCTGTGTGTAGGATATCTCCATCTCCCATACCTGTGTGTAGGATATCTCCATCTCCCATACCTGTATGTAGGATATCTCCATATCCCATACCTGTGTGTAGGATATCTCCATCTCCCATACCTGTGTGTAGGATATCTCCATCTGCCTTACTTGTGTGTAGGATATCTCTATCTCCCATACCTGTGTGTGTAGGATATCTCCATCTCCCATACCTGTGTGTATCTCCATCTCTCATACCTGTGTGTGTAGGATATCTCCATCTCCCATACCTGTGTGTAGGATATTTCCATCTCCCATACCTGTGTGTGTAGGATATCTCCATCTCCCATACCTGTGTGTAGGATATCTCCATCTCTCATACCTGTGTGTGTAGGATATCTCCATCTCCCATACCTGTGTGTAGGATATCTCCATCTCCCATACCTGTGTGTAGGATATCTCCATCTCTCATACCTGTGTGTGTAGGATATCTCCATCTCCCATACCTGTGTGTAGGATATCTCCATCTCTTATACCTGTGTGTGTAGGATATCTCCATCTCCCATACCTGTGTGTAGGATATCTCCATCTTCCATACCTGTGTGTGTAGGATATCTTTAAATAGGTGAGTTGTGCAGTAAACCACAACCATGGAAAGGAAGATTGAAATTCAATACTTTTCGAAGCTTTCTGCTTAATTACAAATGTCTTAGCCTTAAGGGGAGATTTTTGTTTGTATGTTAATTTATTTTGAAACTGTTGTAGAATTATCAGGAAGAATTACAGTAATGTACTTGTAGTATCTAGGTATGGTATTAATGTCATTATTGGCAGGCTTGTAAGTGTTTCCATCTTTCTGTTAATAAGACTCCAGAGTTTTCATTCTATTTTCAGAGAGACTCCAAGAAGATGTATGAACTTTGCTTGTCATTGACACAGACCTATTCCAAACACAATATTGGTAAGTGTTTACATGACCTAAGGTAATCAAATATTTTGGTAGTAAAATTTCATTATATTTCTTTGACATTGATTTAAACTAAAGATATGACAGTGATTAGTTGATTTGTACATAACATTAAGTCATGACATAGTTTTGATATTGACTATAATTTGCTCATTTAAAGTAACATTGGATATTATTGCCTCATTTGTTAAGTAACATTGGTAACGACAAGCTTATTTAATATAAGCTAAGATTGGCTGATTTGTTTTGTATAGGCTAGTTTTTACAGATTTATTTGTATCACAGACTAGGATAGACTATTTTGTTTTGTATCATAGGCTGATATTGGCTGGTTTGTTTTATATCATAGGCTGGTATTGACTGGTTTGTTTTGTATCATAGGCTGGTATTGGCTGGTTTGATTTGTATCATAGGCTAGGACTGGCCAATTTGTTTAAAGCTGATATTATGATTTGTTTTTAGGTAAACATATTTTTGATGCCAGTGGAGAGGAGGAGGATCGTTACAATGATATTATGTTGGTGATGGAAATGCTTACCAACCTTTTGTCCAAGGATTTCATTGATTTCAGTGATCCAGGTCAGTTATTCTTCATTCTGGCAAAAAATGTAGTTCTGTTGTTTGTGAGAAATTTATGGATACGTTATCAAAGCATTACAGATTTATGTTCTCCGTACTTATATTTTGAATTTTCCATTAGAACAGGTTTTTATTGTTAAATTCTTAATTCTGACAAAGTGTTAAATTGTTGAAAATTTATGTTAAAAACTTAAAGGATTTGATCAGTACCCTTTTCATTAATGAGAGGACAATGACTTGTTAATAATAGGATCATGACATCATTGTGACAGATTAGATTAGAACTTCTTAATGTTTACAGATGATGATTCTGTTCCTGGAGACAAGGTGGAGGCATCAGACGTTGCTCTTTATGGACTTAACACTGTGATACCCCTGATGAATGCTGACCTTCTCAAGGTGACAATAAATACTTGTAGTGTAAGATCATCCAATCTACACTATGTTCCACTCCATATAGCAGAGTGACACAACCTTTACTTCTGTTCTGTATTGTTTAGCATGGTAGCAGGATCATACCATCGAAATAGCTGAGATATATACCCTTTAGATATATATATAGTTAATTTGCACATATCTCAACTAGAATAGCCTTGAAACATTCACGAGTTATAGATATAACTTCATAGAAACCATGGTCATTGTGTTAACACTTATGGTTAGGGTATGAAATCTGTGTGTTATCACAAGCCCTCCAGCACTGGGTCACAGGTTTGAAGCCTATTTGTGGCACTCACCAGGTACTGGCCACAGGCGGATAGTTTTTCTCCAGGTACTCCTGCTCTCCTCCACCAATCAAACCGGGCACATATTGAAATGATCCTTGGCTGTTATTAGGACGTAAAGCTAAAATAAACTAAACATTAAAACCGAAAAAAAGGGAAATTCATTACTGTATTGGATATTTAAAAAAAAATTGAACACAGCTGCTTACATATCCATGTAAGCAATTTATACATTTTGACATGCTTTCAAAGAATTATCATATTGTGAAATTGTGGAGATGATTGCTGTATGTTAACACTTATCCTTACTTGTATGAAAGCTGTGTGTTTCAGTACTCTACCCTTTAAGATTGTAGAGATGACTGCCGTGTGTTAACACTTATCCTTACTTGTATGAAATCTCTGTGTTTTACCTGTAAGATCAGGTTTCAATATTGTACCCTGTGAGATTGTGGAGATGTGTTAAGATTTTTCTTTTATGAAATCTGTGTGTTTCAGTAACCTACCCTTTAAGATTGTGTGTTTCAGTAGCCTACCCTTTAAGATTGTAGAGATGACTGCTGTATGTTAACACTTATCCTTACTGGTATGAAATCTGTGTGTTTCAGTACCCTACCCTTTAAGATTGTAGAGATGACTGCTGTGTGTTAACACTTATTCTTACTTATATGAAATCTCTGTGTTTCAGTAGCCTACCCTTTAAGATTGTAGAGATGACTGCCGTGTGTTAACACTTATTCTTACTTATATGAAATCTCTGTGTTTCAGTAGCCTACCCTTTAAGATTGTAGAGATGACTGCCGTGTGTTAACACTTATCTTTACTTGTATGAAATCTGTGTGTTTCAGTACCCTACCCTTTAAGATTGTAGAGATGACTGCCGTGTGTTAACACTTATCTTTACTTGTATGAAATCTGTGTGTTTCAGTACCCTACCCTTTAAGATTGTGTGTTTCAGTACCCTACCCTTGAAGATTGTAGAGATGAGACTGCTGTATGTTAACACTTATCCTTACTTGTATGAAATCTGTGTGTTTCAGTACCCTACCCTTTAAGATTGTGTGTTTCAGTACCCTACCCTTTAAGATTGTAGAGATGACTGCTGTGTTAACACTTATTCTTACTTATATGAAATCTGTGTGTTTCAGTACCCTACCCTTTAAGATTGTAGAGATGACTGCTGTATGTTAACACTTATCCTTACTTGTATGAAATCTGTGTGTTTCAGTACCCTACCCTTTAAGATTGTAGAGATGACTGCTGTATGTTAACACTTATCCTTACTTGTATGAAATCTGTGTGTTTCAGTACCCTACCCTTTAAGATTGTAGAGATGACTGCTGTATGTTAACACTTATCCTTACTTGTATGAAATCTATGTATTTCAGTACCCTATTTTGTGAGATTGTGGAGTGATTTTTATATGTTAACACTTGTCTTTAGTTATTTGTTTTCTGTTTCAGTACCCTACACTTTGCTCGCAGTACTTCAAACTTGTGGCATTTCTGGCTGAGCTACATCCAGAAAAGTTTGCCAGTATTCCAGAAGATATGTTCAAAAACCTGGTAGCATCTGTTGACTTGGGATTTTCATCGTATCCTTACTAGCACATAAGTTTGAATAAAGCACAATGTTTTTCTTCTGAATTTCTTTTTAGTACATGGATAAGGACTTTAAGAAATGTAATATGTTGTATACATGAAATTGTATTTCATATGTTTAAAACATTACATTGTTGATCTAAAGGATAGTTGTATAAAAGGAATCATTGCACAAAATTATGAACACAATAGATTATCATTACAGTTTTTGAATGTCGACAGCATAGCAATCATTGTGGTAGCACAAATTCATTATTGTGCTTACTTAAATGAAGTTGATATTGTGCAAAATAAAGGTTTGCAGAATAGAAATGACCAGAGATAAGAGATTTCACAGATATAATACACATGTTACTGTGTACATTTGATTCTGATTATAGGGTATGATTAAGACTGATAAAACTTATTACATTCCTGACCATGTACCAGCTATGGGTCTGACATCACCAAACTCAGCATAGAGATTGTCACAGAACTGGCCTCGTATGTGTACCAGGAAAATCAGGTGGGAACACAGATCCATTCCACCTTGTGTCACTTCCTCAAGGTATGTCACTGTAAATATTGGGAAAAGAAAGTCTGACCTAAACCTGGGGGACCTTTTCCTGAAAATAGAGTTTCTATTTTTTGCAATCATTGTCAGTATTGAAAGGTCAGGACAGATTTTATGCTTGTTATGTATCAATATCTCCCAGTCATGTTTATTTTCTTTATTTTTTACAGTCTGTGTTCAATATGCTGTTTTTGGAAACATTTAACATGGACCTATTGGAGACAGCCAGTACTGGACTCTTTTGTCTAATCTGTTGTCACCAGGTATGACAACATTTATGTCCTCTGCTTAAAGTTATGGACATGTTTGTCCCATCACATCCTGAATAGATGTCTTCACTCTAATAACAGAGTGAAAGTGGTTTAATTTTTTCAGGTTAAGTTAAAGTTTTAGGTAATACAGTTCCTTTTTCAAAGTGTTGACATTTGATGATGTTACATTAAAATCTTTTGCAAAGTAATGATAATTTTCATTTCTTTATCTTACCAAAGGGTAACACCCATATCCCCATATCAATGGCTTTACTGTTAAAATCACATGGGGGGTAGGGGGGGGGGTTGACAGGGGGATGCAATGAATCAATACTCAGTATAATTGTTATTAATAAGTTGTATTGTTATCATTTAGATATGAAAGTTGATATCCTAATTTCTCAAACAGGAGCAGTACAGAGAGTTGGTGAACCAGTTACTTCAGAGCCAGTCCGATCCCACCTACAAGCAGCGCCTCCTAGAGGCCTTCAATAACCTTACTCCACCCACTCTAACAATGACTATCAACCGTCAGAGCAAGATTGCATTCATGCATAATTTTGATCAGTTCCTCACAAATGTGCGAGGATTTCTATGTGTCAAATAATGTAAGTGTGTAGACTATTTGAATGGATGGAACTGTACGAATGTTGGTAAAAAGGATTTTCTAAGATAATGAATGGGATGATTGACCATTTCTAGATACACACAGAGAAATGTTTTTGTGTAATATTAATCGAAATAATAGACTTGTTATGCCTATAGATTTCTACACCATGTAAGATCAATGTTTGTCAGTTTTTCACTTTCACATTTTCTTGACTGTCATTTTATAAGCAAGCAATATGGACAGACTTGTTAAAGGGACAAAACTCTCTGACAGGAAACATGTGCAGTGTATGTCATTTTTCAACATTGATTTTAAATTCTGATGAACTAAAATAAATTATTCATCTTAGAGATAGCAATAGGGACAACAAGGCAGTTAGGACACCTGCTACACACCTGGATGTATGGGTGTTAGGACACCTGCTACACACCTGGATGTGTGGATGTTAGGACACCTGCTACAAACCTGGATGTGTGTGTGTTAGGACAGCTGCTACACACCTGTATGTATTGGTGTAAGGGCACCTGCTACAAACCTGGATGTGTGTGTGTTAGGACAGCTGCTACACACCTGTATGTATTGGTGTAAGGGCACCTGCTACACACCTGGATATATTTGTGTATACATTGGTTAGGACACCTGCCTCTCTCCTGTGTGTATAATGTACAGAGTGGTTAGGACACCTGCCTCTCACTTGTGTGTATTGGTGTACACAGTGGTTAGGACACCTGCCTCTCTCCTGTGTGTATAATGTACAGAGTGGTTAGGACATCTACCACTCATCTGTATGTATTAGTGTATACAGTGGATAGGACACATGCCACTCACCTGTGTGTATAATGTACAGAGTGGTTAGGACACCTGCCTCTCACCTGTGTGTATTGGTGTACACAGTGGTTAGGACACCTGCCACTTACCTGTATGTCAGTATGTACACAGTAGGACACCTGTCACTTACCTGTATGTTAGTATGTACACAGTAGGACACCTTCTACTTACCTGTGTGTCAGTATGTACACAGTAGGACACCTTCTACTTACCTGTGTGTCAGTATGTACACAGTAGGACACCTGCCACTTACCTGTATGTTAGTATGTACACAGTAGGACACCTGCCACTTACCTGTATGTTAGTATGTACACAGTAGGACACCTGCCACTTACCTGGATGTATGTACACAGTAGGACACCTTCTACTTACCTGTGTGTCAGTATGTACTCAGTAGGACACCTGCCACTTACCTGTGTGTCAGTATGTACACAGAAGGACACCTTCTACTTACCTGTGTGTCAGTATGTACACAGTAGGGCACCTGCCACTTACCTGTGTGTCAGTATGTACACAGAAGGACACCTTCCACTTACCTGTATGTTAGTATGTACACAGTAGGACACCTGCCACTTACCTGGATGTATGTACACAGTAGGACATCTGCCACTTACCTGTATGTCAGTATGTACACAGAAGGACACCTTCCACTTACCAGTATGTTAGTATGTACACAGTATAAAATCAGACTTGATGTTATATTGTTCTTTTCTTCTCAGTGTAAAATTGAAAAGTTTTTGACACTGAGAGCTGCAAGTCTGACATGACATTGATGAACCCTATATGGGATAAACTCATTAACTTACATTTGAAAGGAAATTAGATGCACATAGTCTCAAAATTACTAAAAATAGAACAGGGTAATCCTAAAGTATCTTTCTTGTCTGCATTATGACTATAACATGACTGTAAAGTCTTGCATGCTAGATATTTATGAATGACAAAAGCTGGAAGCACACAGTGAAGACAGATTGATGGCATATTTACAGACACACAGATACTTGACAGTTACATTCCACGCCAAAATGTCCCTAGTTAGGTTATCAACTATAATGAAAGTGTGTTATTATGATAGGTTGTTTTGTGTGTATCTGATGTTTCTCCATTAGAGAGATATACTTTGTGTACCTATGAGACAACTGTAAAGATACATCAGAGTCACTGTATTTATAAGTTACTAATACTGTTAGCTGATCACATGACCTTACTGAACATTTGTATTTATTCTCTGTCAGTTATTTGTGTAGGGGATATTCATGGTATGATTCCGAATGTTATCTGTGTTATCTCTTATGATGAGCTTGCCTTTTAAAGTTGTTCGTGTTGTAAATAAAGAACAGTTTTGGAGAGTAATTAGTGAGATTGTATAATCTGTATTTGTTGGATGCTCTGTGTTTGTGAAGCATAATAGGTGAGATTGTGTACTGTAGAAGGGGAATTAGTGAGATTGTGTACTGTAGAAGAGGAATTAGTGAGATTGTGTACTGTAGAAAAGGAATTAGTGAGATTGTGTACTGTAGAAGAGGAATTAGTGAGATTGTGTACTGTAGAAGGGGAATTAGTGAGATTCTGTACTGTAAAGAGGAATTAGTGAGATTCTGTACTGTAAAGACGAATTAGTGAGATTCTGTACTGTAGAAGAGGAATTAGTGAGATTGTGTACTGTAGAAAAGGAATTAGTGAGATTGTGTACTGTAGAAGAGGAATTAGTGAGATTGTGTACTGTAAAGACGAATTAGTGAGATTCTGTACTGTAGAAGAGGAATTAGTGAGATTCTGTACTGTAAAGACGAATTAGTGAGATTCTGTACTGTAGAAGAGGAATTAGTGAGATTCTTTACTGTAAAGACGAATTAGTGAGATTCTGAACTGTAAAGAGGAATTTGTGAGATTCTGTACTGTAGAAGAGGAATTAGTGAGATTCTGTACTGTAGAAGGGGAATTAGTGAGATTGTGTACTGTAGAAGAGGAATTAGTGAGATTGTGTACTGTAGAAAAGGAATTAGTGAGATTGTGTACTGTAAAGAGGAATTAGTGAGATTGTGTACTGTAATTTATTTTTCAAGAAATTTGATATTTCCACTGTTCCATCACATAAAGAAAATTCTTTTTTCAGTCTTTTGATAACCCCTCCCCCACTAAAAAAAAACCAAACAAAAACAATTAAATCATGTACAGTTGTTTGTACCAGTTGGCAGTTGGGTGAACTCTTTTGGAAAGGCTGGTTGTTGATTGTCTTTGTTTGGGTAGGAGAAGAGATTATTTTGTGAACTTGTGTGTTTAGGCTATTTTTCATCGCTATAACAGACAATATCAAAAGAGTAACACATGTGTATGTAGTTTGACATGGTTGTCAGTGATGACAATGCCTAGAAGTTTATTTTTAGACACTTTGTGTTCCATGCATGACTTGCCTCTGTTTATGTTATCGAGGATAAAATATGCAACATTTTTATGCACCATGATGAATACTCTTTTATATAACAGTGACGACATCACGTAGTGGGTACAGATGTGCTATCATGTAGTCTGATTTAATGATATGATATACAGGTTGATGTTTTATATTTGTACTGATTGGATTGTATTCATTTGTGGCCATATGTATGTGGTGTTGTAATGTACAGAGCATTTCCTGTCATCATTTCAAGGATCCTGATATAATTTGCCCTATTTTAGTTTCATTTACGTTTATTCACCATAGCCTGGAAAAAAAAATGTAATGTAAGAATTTTTCAGATTTCAATGGCCTGAAACAGATCCTTTCTGCTGGTAAAACAGAAACTGTTTCTGTAACATAGGTCAGCATTTATTTCAATGCTTCCAATAGGATTCGAACAACCAACTTCTGGCTTACTAGTCTGACAATCAACTGATCAGGTGAAAGAGAAGTTCTTTTAAGTTGAGCAGTGTATTGCGTGTAGTATTCACAAGGGTTGCATTACTAGATGGAGTGTTCTCTTGGGTACAAATTGAAGGAATGATGTGTACAAATTTTCAATGTTTTAATTATGTATGCAGCAGAAATTAAGCTTAGCCCTTGTTGTTAAGTGTTTTTCATATGACAAATTGATTTTAACCCTTAACTGACTTACCATTGTAAACTATCACTGTACAAATAATTAGCAAGTAATTGTCCTAATAGATTTATAACTAGATATTTGTTCAAACTTCAATTGTCTTCAGTTTCTGATTAAAACAATATTGATATAGAAATAAATGAGTTTGCATGTTTGAACCCTTTATATATGGAATGTTTACATTGTTAGGCCTACTCTTTGTACAACAGTGTTGCACCAACATTCCATGCTGGTCTAAACGATGGGCTGGTGTTGACTGTCAATGTAGTATTGCAGTAGACAGGCATAATGCCAACACAATTGTTAAAATGTGCTTCCCGATTCGTGCAATAAGAAAAATTAACATGACACTTGCTGGACATTATTTATATTGTTAGCGTAGGTGATATGTAAGTTTTTTTATCCTGTTATATCACTGTATTCTGTAATTGTGGCGTGTCATTGTATGTAGTAATTGTGGTCACTTATGCTCTCACCAGTATGTAATTTATGTGGTCAAATTGCTTAATCTGTCATGGTATGTGGTAAGTTTGGCCCCTTATCATGCTCTGTCATCGGTTTGTGGTATATGAGGTCCCATTGTTTAACCTGTCTTTGTATGTGGTAAGTTTGACCCCTTATCATGCTCTGTCATCAGATTGTGGTATATGAGGTCCCATTGTTTAACCTGTCTTTGTATGTGGTAAGTTTGACCCCTTATCATGCTCTGTCATCGGTTTGTGGTATATGAGGTCCCATTGCTTAACCTGACTTTGTATGTGGTAAGTTTGACCCCTTATCATGCTTTGTCATCGGCTTGTGGTGTATGAGGTCCCATTGTTTAACCTGACTTTGTATGTGGTAAGTTTGACCCCTTATCATGCTTTGTCATCGGCTTGTGGTGTATGAGGTCCCATTGTTTAACCTGTCTTTGTATGTGGTAAGTTTGACCCCTTATCATGCTTTGTCATCGGCTTGTGGTGTATGAGGTCCCATTGTTTAACCTGTCTTTGTATGTGGTAAGTTTGACCCCTTATCATGCTTTGTCATCGGCTTGTGGTGTATGAGGTCCCATTGTTTAACCTGTCTTTGTATGTGGTAAGTTTGACCCTTTATCATGCTCTGTCATCGGTTTGTGGTATATGAGGTCCCATTGTTTAACCTGTCTTTGTATGTGGTAAGTTTGACCCTTTATCATGCTCTGTCATCGGTTTGTGGTATATGAGGTCCCATTGTTTAACCTGTCTTTGTATGTGGTAAGTTTGACCCCTTATCATGCTCTGTCATCGGTTTGTGGTATATGAGGTCCCATTGTTTAACCTGTCTTTGTACATGGTAAGTTTGACACATCATCATGCTCTGTGATTGGTGTGTGAGTTGCTTAATTTGTTAATGTATGTGGTAGATATGACCCATTACACTGCTCTTAACTGTATGCAGTTAGAGTTGGCTGTGTATTTTGTCACATGCTCCAAGTGTAGCCTATTCCTATATATCCTACATCTAGTACCTGGTAATTTGTCACTATTCATTGTAACTATCCTTTATCCTGTGTTCTGTCACTATATGTAGTGATTGTAGCCCTCTGCAAAGTCCTGACTCTGGATGGTGTATATAAGGCTGAGTGCTGTGTCACAGTATCTGTTGT